TTGGGTTGGGGTGGTTTGGCAAAAGCTGTTCCAAATCGTCACTGCAGGTATGTCAGAAGGAAGGTGTTTTGTCTTCTTTCCTAGAAAGAACATCAGACAGGAAGGAAAAAAAAAATCATACATAACTTTTTTCCTCCTCTTCAACTGAAAAAAGGGGAATTCAATTTTTTAGAAGGGTGGGGGGTGGCTTAGGTGCTTTGGCAGAGTCATTTTTCACTTACAATTGTTTTCAACTGATTTATTTTTTTTTTAAACAAAAAGAGCCTCATCTTGGAGTGAAACACACAAGGGCAAGGTCTTTGGTCCAGGCTCTGGCTTCTGTTTCTTCCAAGAAAAAAAAAAACCACCAAACTGGTTTTGGGGAGTTTCAGGGAAAACACCCCAAACATTCCATCAGGCTGGCATGATTTCTTTCTGAGCTCTGAGACCAGGGACGCCTGCGACACCCACCCTTTGCAGGGGTTTTGCCGCTGTTTTGGCAGCGTGCGAGGGAACGGCTGGTGGCTGGGAATGAGGGAGGTGGGGTTTGGAAGGGGACACATCACAGGTGACCTCCCCCAGCGATCAGCCGAGCAAATCTTGGCATTCCCATGGGCTGTCCCTGCACTCCTGGTCTCATACCTCGACTTAGGGAACTCCTCAAGACTTTCACTGACCCATTGGCTTTGGTGGAGTCTCGCAGAGGAGAACATCCAGAGGAAGCTCCTACTGACTGAGGCCAGCACTTGGGTCTCTAGTCCTGCCCCAGGCAGAGCTCTCGGCAAAACCAGCATCATTTGTACCTTCAGCAAGCTAGTCCAGGCTTATTTTAAGCCAGTCTGGGAGAGAAGTTGCCCTCAGTGAAGATACTTGGCTAAACCTCCCTCCAAGGGGCAGCTCTCGCCCATCACTACCCCCAGGACGCTGCAGCAGGGCAGCCCAGCCACGGCTGACATGGGATCTACTGGGATTTGTCGGAGCAAGCTAGATTTCCAAGAAGGAGGTGGAAGAAAACTGCTACTTCTCCAGCACTGAAGCTATCTCCATTCCATTTTAAAGCTTTTGGAGACTTGGCCTCCTGTAGCATCTTTCTCCCAAAGACCTTTCCTCCCCAGCCAGGGCACAGGCATCCTCTGGACCCATGGAGAGGAGTTTGCTGGAAGATGATGTTTAACTAAACAAATCTGAGTATATCAAAGGGTCCAGGTGACGAAGGGAAGCTCCTGCGTGGTGCTGCCCACACTCACCTTGGAGATGGATCACCTCCCGACTTTACATCCTGGCTAAGTTTAGCCAAGATGTTGAATCCAAAGCAGGAGGCAGAAATGGTGTTGCTCACCTTCTGGATGCTCCCTTAGAAGCTCCTACCTGGCCAGCAGCAGCTCCCTCCGCTCACAGCTCCCACCAGGATCTGCAGAAGAGTCCCCCCCAGTATAACCCCGCTGTCCGATGCAGAAGGCAGAGCCCTGCCAAAACCAGCCTGGAAAGAGCCTCAGCGACCAGCAAACGATTCGAGGAAACTCACAGCTGACTGCAAACAACATCACAAGTGCTGCAGAAGGTGGCCAAGGTCACACACACCGAGCAAGCGGGACACGGGAACCACGGGAGGACCACAGACCACCAGCACCCCCCACGGCACCAGCAGCCCTGGAGAGAAAAACACAGCCGCATCACCGCAACGGGGTTTTATAGCAAAATCATTTGGATTCTTCAGGGTTGAATTAAAGTTGCAGGAGGTTTCTTTTTTAATCACAATAATAAATAGCCGAGTGAGTCATTGCCCGAGAAAACCCGACAGCAGCTACGAGACGAGCCAGTTACTGCTCACGTCTGCTGGCTACAGCCGGGAAAGGGTGGGAGGTTGGTGTTTAGGGACGAAGAAGAGGCAGCGCAACTTCAGCGAGAGTAAACAGACAGCTCAGAGCCTTCCCCTGCGTTTCTCATTTCCATTTTGAAGGGGCTGATAAAGAACAGAAAGCAAGAGAAGCCACTTTTGTACGTGACTCCGGCTCGGCAACCCTCGGTGGCCAGCACCGTGTCAGAAAGCCCTCAGCACCGCGTCGCCTGCGGCTCACGGGGCACAGCTTCTCCCAGGGCAAATCACTCCAGCCTCGCAATTAAAAAAAAAAAAAAGACATAAATTAAACAAAAAAATCCATTGCCAGCATCTGAACATCCCCGTTTGGGCTTTTTCCAAGAAAAGCATCTCTGTATCCATTAGCTATTGTCTCCCTCTAGCGCAGGCAGAGTCCAAACCTGTCTCCTGCCTGGCTGGAAACCAGGGGCTGAAGCTCTGCGGAGAACTGGGGGCTCGTGGCAGGCTGGGAAAACACACCAAGTACCAGCTCTACCTTGGCATTGATGAATCAGCTTCCCCACACACACTTTTTTCGGGCGGGGGGGGTGTCTTTCCACCTTATCGCAGCAGATGCTCAGAGCAGGAGGGTTCTTAGTCACCAAATCGTCAAGCTGAAGCCTTTCAAATTTGAGAAACGACTGCCAGCAACCGCATTTTACCAAGGGCTGGAGAGGACACAGATGAAACAGCATCCATCCCCCCTTCCCACTACTCCTGGGGAACCATCCTAACCTCCCTTCGCCCTTCAGAGAGGGGATTAGGGTGTGCTCAGCCAGGCTTTTCAGGGGATCTATTTACAGCTGCCTTTAACACCTCCGTACATCTCCCAAACCAAAATAAAAACCTGCACTTAAATTTTGAAACGAAAGGTCTCGCATCCTCTCCTAGGGCGATTTCTGCCAAGAACAAGAATGATGCCGCAAATCTCTCCCCTTTTAAACTAAGCACTGCAGCAGCACCTTCGCCCCCCCCGCTCTGCAGCTTAACCCACCAGAAAAGACCCACCAAGAGCCTGCAGACACAGCCAGGCTTCCACCTCCAGGCTCACACCACCTTTGTTCCTCCAAAGGCTGCAGCCAGAGGCTCTCCAGGCACTGCTGTCCCTTCCAGGAGTCCTTCTTCCCTGAATGAGGCACCATCAGCATTTGCAAAACCATCTTTGAGGAAGGAGGGACATCCCTTTCCCTGGAGACCCCAGTTCTCACTGGGCCGTTACCCGTGCCAAGCTGTCGGAGAGGGAGGCAGGATGAACGCAGCGGCTCCTCAACCGGCTCTGCCTTCACGACACCACGCTGGGGGTGAAGACAGGCGAGTCAACCCTGCTCCACTCGGTACCTGTGCAACCTGTCTCTCACCACCAGCTTTCCCAGGGTCTTGCAAAGCAGCTGCCCCACCTGAACACGGGGAAGGGAGCTCAGGACGGAGGGAATTCACTGGTGCCCATCTCTCCATGCTCTCCAACCAGCAAGGCACGTAAGACACACAGGAAGGCTCTGGGCACCCTTAGACTAGTCACCCGTTATACTGGGAGAACTGTTACACGTGAGCCCAAGGATGGGAAATTGCTCCCTGTAAAGGTTCCCTGCTGCCCATTTTCCTTATCCATAACGGAGAGGAGAGAAGCAAAAAACCACAGCCGAGACCCAAACACATGGAGGAGCCAAAGGGGAGCATCTGACCCAGGGGAAGGCTGAGCTTCCCCCCAGCTGCACACCAAGAAGCCGACACGGCAGCAGAAACCCAGGTCTGCTCTCCCACAGGGCCACCACCGCCAGCACCTGCCTCCACCACCACATAGTTCATGAAGTGACGGAGCTTCAAAAGAGGAGGAGCTGCCCCCAGCTGGGGTGGCCATGGGGACTTCCCAGGCGGGCAGGACTGCCATCGGAGCCACGCTACAACACCCCCAGCCCAAACGACCGACACTGAAGCTTGTGGGTTACGTTCTTAGTTTCAAAACAGTCCAACCTGCTCCATGAAGCTGCTACTTACCCCAAAATAGGTGCCTAGACATCTGCGAAAGGATCAGCCTCCGACCATAACCTGGGCAAGCGTGGAGACCCTCCAGGGTTCAGGTTTTCCTTAGGTCTAGTTGCAGGGGGTGTCCCTGGTACTAACAAGCACTTTCTACTTCAAACCACCTATAAAACTATTAAAGCAGATTAACAGCATTTGAGATTTTACTCAATGAAATAACACCTCTGAGGAACATGACAGCTTAATGGCTACAGCTGAAACCCAAGGGCAGCTTTTGTGAAGAAACACAGGTTTCCCAGTTTTCTCTCTCTCTTCTGAGCTATCTCATAGCTCTCCACAGGACTGGCATCATCCAGGAAACCACTGGGTCTGTGTAAGGAAGAAACTTCTTCACTTCGCCTCCCAAGAGGCCTGGGTGACAAAAGGACTAAAATATTAACAAAAATATCCCCACAAAGGCAGGAGTGTGAAGAGCTCAGGGTGAGCAGCTTGAAGCATTTTACTTCTACAGTGAACGCATTTTGGCCCACAACCGTTTGTTGCCTTCCCTCAGACAATCATGTCCTCCAGTGTCATCAAGAACTAAGCCACATCATCTCCCCTTGCTTACTGGAGTCTCCTGCAGGACTGAAGGGTTCCTCCAAGACACACTCAAAAACCCAAAGCAGAAGGGGGCCACCTGATCTCCCCATACCCCCAGAAGAAACCCTGTCCCATCCAAGACCCTCCCCAGATTTGTTCTCACTAACAGAGCATCCAAACTCCCACAAAGCTCCTTCCACCACAGATTCCCATCCAGGAGGCAGGTCTGGGGCAAAGGGAGATACTCTGTGCACTGCTGGCAGCCCGGCAGGCTTGCCCAACGCTCCCACAAAAGCGGGCTGTGTCATCCAAAGCCGTGTTTCCAACTGTTCCTCCCCCTTATACTCCCTGATTCTTCCCAAAGACGATACACAACACGGAACCACAGCTCATTTTTAAAGCCTTCATACCTTTTCTTTAACAGGAAGGCTTGCTCTGAAGTTCGCAAGCCCCCCAGGTTGCCTCTTCTCAAGCTTGTGCTGCCTCCTCTGCCCAAAAATAAGCACACCGAGCGCAGGCTCGTGCTAGTTTCAGGGAGGGGAGAGGTGGAAATCTCACCTGAGTCATCCACGTTTAAAGAAGAGAGCAGGAACACCTTGAATAATAGCATCCCTTTATTTGCTGACACCATTACAAAAACGGATTACATTAGCAACCAAAAAAAAAAAAAAAAGGAGGGTTTATTTGAACTTGAGGTTGAAGTCAGAGGCAGCTAATCCCAAAAATGTAATTAAGTAAAACTGTGTACAACATCAGTATTAAAATGTTATATCCCATTGGTGACTTTACCACGTTGGAGTTTTCTGAACAAGTTTTACTGAGCAAAATAAGAGAAAAGATTATGTGTTTACTGTCTCTCCAGGAATGTAAAGGTCTAATTATCCAAACAGGTTTGTTTTTATTACAAAACTAAACTCTGGAGGTGTCTACAGAGTTGGGTTTTTTCTTTAAATCAGTAGTCTAACAAGGATTAGAAAAGACAAAACTCTGTTCAGTGTTTCTGACGAAGTAGAAAGGGTGAAAACATAAATAAGGCTTTAATTTGGCAAAATATAATACAATGCCTTCTGCTATCCTCAAATTAACGATTCCCCCGCGACTTCATTCTGCAAGAGAAACACAAAACGCCGCATCAGCCCAGCAGTTTCCCCAAGGGCAGCGTTCAAGCCGAGCCCCGCCTCACGCCAGCCACGTCGGTCGCGCCAGCCCACGACGAAGCCCGGCGGGACGAGGCCAGGGCGGCGGAGGCTGAGCGAGACCGGCCTCCCCAAGCAGAGGCCGAGGTGCAGGCAGCACCTTCCTCCCACGGGCGCCAAGCCTGTCCTCCAAAACTGGGCTCACCCCACCGTGACCACCCCGTTACCTGCCCTTAAGACAGCTCTGCTGCCCACGTTGTATCGAAGAGGCAGGAGCAGAAAAAAAACCACCCAAATTAGGAAAAAAACCACCCCAAACACGTCCCCATTGTCAGTAGAGGAGGGAGTTCTGACTCCTTGTAGCAGCTGGTTCAGCGCCAAGGCCTCGCTGCCTCCCGAACCCAACGGTTCACAGCCCGCCTTCGGGCCCGGCTCGCAGCAGGGGCTCACAAGCTGCATCAGCTTCCCCAGCAAGGTCAGTGTCTGGAGTTTTTCTGAGCATTCGCTAACTTTGGGTCATTGAAGAAGTTTACCAGCACGATGCAGCCAACCACAAAGGCTCAGGTTTCCAAGCTGGCCGAATATTAAAATAAAAGCCTTGTTCGTGTGTCTGTAATTGGGTGAAGAGTTCATGCCAGACTGATGCTTCAGATACTCATATCCCCGTGACCACAGCCAGGCATCGCTGGTAACTCAGTGAAAGCCCAGTGGGTTACTTTATATCCTCCATCCCAAAGCAAGCAGAGCATGGAAGCGTAGAGGTTTTGCTCATGTAGCTGGGACAAAGGAAACAAGGTACAGGCACTGGGAGAAGAAAACTTTGGGAAACCTGCTGTGTGAAGTAGCAGGTAGTGGAAGGGAGGAATAAAGAGTGACATGCCTAGAGAGGGACACGGGGATTAGCGAGATTAGTCTCAGCTAACCGAAATACAGATCCAGAGAGGAACAAATCCTGTGCCTGCTACAAGTTTTTCATGATTTGCACATAGAAAGTCTCCGATTTTGACGCCTGACTTGTTAAATCTGAACAGGGTCCCGCCCTCACAGACCAGTGTCCTTCCTGACAGCCACCTACCCGTTCAACTAGGTGGCCACCAGCCGCACCTACCTACTAGCTGGTAGTGTTCTCGTCCCTTTGACAGCATTTGGCTTACTGACACGAGCAGCTTCTTGAGATGACCTACATCCTGGTTAAGATTCACCGCCACATTTAGTCTTTTATCAGTCAATTCCTGGAAGAAGAAGAAAAAAAAAAAGAAATCATTAAAACCTCATTTACAATCTAATTACCAAGCAAGCCTAGAATTAGATCCTCTGTATAAAATTACAGCTCCTTGCGCAGATGGGAACAATTCTTCTAAGTCAGAGGGTTATGGCCACGTTTAAAGAGAACATGGTTCAAAGTCAAGAAGCTGTTTCCCGTTCCAGGGAGTCACCTGCACACACCAAACGCCGGCGAGAGCATCGCTGACCTCCAGCTCCCGCCCTCCCTGCCCAGGACGCCGCTTACTCGTGGCTTCCAGGAATTGTGCTCGCAACCACAGCTGATCCGGCCTCGGAATTTATTACCCCGTGTCCCCACAAGCCTGGCTGAGTACGCCACGTGGATGAGAGCACGTGGTTTATAACGCAGGCTGGTAAAGCACAGGGGCAGTGCCCAGCGGGAGCGACGGCTTCTGACCCCCCCGCAGCTGTAACAACAAGGCTGCTGGACCCCCGAGGACTTGGTGTGTATGAGGATCTGTGGGATGGTGTTCTCAGCAGGGCTTTTGTTTTGCTTTTTAAGGAGTTGGACAGTTTATTAACGGGGAAGTGTCACAACTCGAAACGGACTCTTCCCCTCTTGCCTGCCTTCCTCCCCAAAGTCAGTCTCGCTGAGCTAACAGCGATGTAATCCCTGTTTTATTACCTGTATCGATTAGCCCCTCCAGAGACCTACAAAGAACTCCGCGTCCAAAACACACATTACTGCTCCTTACTCAGCTCACAACCTGGAGGAGAGCTTTCCCTTGCAATTCAACAGCTAAAAAATAAGCAACTCAGCCTCGGTGTCGGCGCTACGGAAGCGCCCAATTCTGAACACGAGCGCAGAGCGGGTCGCGAGCGCTCACCATAAAAACGACTGCAAGTGGTTTTACTAACAGAATGAGACTGATGCGTAATGCTGTTGCAAATCTCTCCCTCGAGTTTCGGGGAAATTAGAGCGAGTTCAGAGAGGGCCACTTTCCCAGCTCCCATTTGGCTGGAAACGCCGCTAGACTTGCTGTAACGCAGAGCGAGCAGTAAATCAAACTCAACCACCTGCACCATTACAGAAACTACTCCGGGCTCAGGCAAGAGAACAAAGCCATATATCGCAAAGCTCTTACTTGAGTGCAACTGGTAAACATTTTTCTACTGTAGAAAATCATTGGGAATCTGTATTAGGGTAGCCTTAACCTATTTTACCCTTATTAAAGTAGAAAATCAGGTCTGCCAAGACTGAGACTTCGCAATCTCATCCAGGCTGATGGAAGTGGAAAGGCAAATGCAATCAGCGCCCCAGCAAATGAACAAATTGCAGCGCTGACCGATAGCGCCGGGTACGAAAGTGCACGTGCGTTAGCACAGAGCAGAAGCCGCAGAGGAGCCTTTCAATTCCCTCTCAGCCCTCATCTCCGCGAAGAGCTCTTCTCTCCCTTCTGTTTTCTGACTTCACTCATCTCAGGCAGTGTTTACTCATGAATTATAGACACATCCCCAAGCCTCCCAGGGCCAATCCTGACCAGCTCCCGATGGATTTGGGCTCAACGCAGTCACACTGCAGCTTCTGCTAACCCAGGAGCACAAGTTGCCTGATGGAGTCATTGCTCTGCTCCAGCTCCATGCTCTCCATGACTCAGGGAAGGCATGTCTTCAGGGTACAGGGAAGAAGAGGATGCTTGTGGGGAACCCCCCCCCGCCATGATGACAGACCCAGTAGCTAAGACAGGTGCTGAAGTGACAGATTTCCCTCCACCACGCTTCACACATAGAGCATTTCCAGTTTTCAGTGATGGAGTGTTTTACACTGAGATCTGGGGGGGGGGGAAAGCACATTGGATTTCATATAAGCCTCAAAATAAGTTTACTGCCTAAGCAAGCTGCTGAATATAAATGACTTCCTTAAAGCATACTAAAAGGCACCCTTCAGTCATCATTTAGTCCCATAAGTGACAAGGAAGCTGATTAGAAAAACCAAATGGTCTATTTTTAACCTGAAAGAAAAGCAGTCTAAAGAAAACACACAGACTGTGTTTTGAGGGTTTACACAAGCATCATTTCTCAATTTTGTGGGTTGCTTCCAGCACCCAGAAGGAACAAATATGCTCATTATTGAGCATGTGTTTTCAGGTCCTTCTTACGAGAGACACTGTTGCTAGGTGGAAGTGGCTGGAAGACTTTCTTTTTTAATCCGAGAGCTATTTTAAGCTGGGTTTTTAGGCTTCTGGGGAGACAGCTTTTTTTTTCCCACAAAAAAAAAAAAGGCAGCAAAAAAGGCTTGGGGAAGAGGATAAAGAAAATGTTCTAATTCCAGCCTCTGCCAATGGCTACCTGTCCAGAGCGCTGTTTAGACAATTAACGTATTTTTACTAATGAAGGCTTAATTACAAGTTTATTAGGACTGTTTTTCCACACTCCTCTTCAGAATAAAGCGGTGGATATTCTGGAGGAAAATTGGTTAGGGCTCTGCCACGTGCCCACGCAGCTACAGCGGAGCGATGCATGAGCCAGAGGGGTTATCCAAGTTAAGGGTAAAGCAATTAAATCAAACCAGCATTCCCGGGCCACCGCAGGGCACATCGACTGACACCCGGCTCAGGGGAGCTCACCAGTGTCACACCAGCCACAAAATGCCACAGCTGATGGCATCGCTGTTCTGCTGTACTCAGACAAGCCATGAAGGCATAGCAGAGAGCAAGCAGTTTGGGGTCGGTTTGAGGAGGGCTCGGCAGACCTACCACCCTCCCAGGAAGCCAGCTCACAGGGTTGGGACACCAGCGGTCTCACGGGCCCAGCTGCACCTCCGGCTCAGACACGGTGAGCCCACACCGCAAGGGTCTGTCAGCATCCACGACTGATCACTCTGGAAAAGCCATTTCATTTCTGCTAATGACTACAAAGGCAAAGGCTTTTCTACCAGTACTCCTCAGAGGACTCCCAGCTTCCTCTCACAGCTGATGAAGCTACTTACTTTCAGCAGCTAAAAGGAGCAGATATAAATTATTTGTCCTATCAGCAAGTGCTCCTCTCCCCCTCAAACGACAGCGTTTCCTTCCACTCTAACCATCAGAAGGAAATGGATAATGAGTTCCATTGACACCACTTAGCTGTGTAAAACGTGCTGGGAAGGCATCTGCTCTAGCCTTCCCCTTCCCAACTGCCTTCCAGAAAGCTGTTCTGAAGCTATTTTGAAGCTGGTGTGAAAGCTCTTGTTTCCAGAGACAGAGAAGCCCAGTCACAAGGCCACGACTCAACCATTTGTACAGGTGGTGTCTGACTTTTTAGGGCCAGCACTCAGAATACCAGCTACCCAAGCAGCTCAGCAGTCATCCACGCTAACAGCAACCCACAGGCTCAGGCGAGTGACCTGCAAGCGTGAAAAGAGGCCACCCCAAACAGAGTCCACCCAATTCCAGACCTTGCAACAGCAGTGTCATTGCTGGAGGATATAAAGATCATCAGTCTGGAGAGCTGCCCACCCACAGCACGAGGCAGTGCTCAAGCCTGTCGCTTACTGAAGCTCAGGCTAGCAAGGTTTGGCTGCTGGACCACATCAAAGTCAGCACAAATTCCCAGGAGCCAGGATCAGCTGAAATGGAATTCTGGCACCTGCTAAGGACAGGAATTTGCCCCCAGCTGCAGAGGACCAGAAGGGTCAATGTTCTGGCAAGAGACATCCTCTGCCTCGGTGTTACAGGGCGTGCAAGACTGCCTTCTTTCTTCGGCATTACAGGACATCAGCGAGCACCAACCCAAAAGTCAGTATTTTAAGCTCGTTTACTTATCAGCAGATTTATTTTTAGCTTCCCTTCTCGAAGGGACAAGTCTAAGGATCTTCCCACTTTTCCCCAAACCAAAACACCAACCCATTGAAAGCCCAGATCTCACGTCCAGAATCTCTCCCCTCCCTCCTTGCAAATTTGAGCCATGGGAAAGAGGCCACGATCCAGACGACAACAGAACTCCCAGTGCATCCTTGGGATACAGCTGCAGGACACCAGCCTGACAAGCTGTAGGACAGGAAGTTTCATCAAGCCTTAATTTACCATAAGCAGCATCTTCCTTTGCTGGACCTCGCTTCCCAAAGTTGATACTTTGCACAAGATTTGTGTTGCCCCTGTGCAGGGGCTCAAAAGAAACACTCACCGGCTCTGTGCAAACATCGCTGTTTTCAATAACGTTGGCATCCCCAACGACTTTCCCAATTTCTCTTTCAAGAGATGCCAAAGACTCCTGGGCCTGTAGGGGAGAGAGGGAAAAAAAAAGAAGATAAAAACCCAACAAAATACCAAACAGGGGAGGCACAACAATTAGAAAGGCTGAGAAGCAAACCCTCATCTCTCCAAGAGCACTAGAGACACAGGAAATCACTGTTCCGGAGGAAATCTGTTTTATGCCAGATTTGCTCAGGGGACCAACACATTTGCCAAGATTGACAGGTCTCCTTACAATCAGCATGTTGCATGTCAGCCTGCCTGCATTTGAGAGCAATTCTACAGGGAAGCTTTAATAAGTCTCATGTCAAGTTATTAGCTAAAAAAACGAGCAGCAAAATTTTTTGTGCGAGAGTAGCAGCGCAGGCAGGTCTCTAAAAGCCTAATCGTAGACCTCCATTTACGTAGAACATACCACAAACCAGGGACATCAGCACAGCTCACTTCACATGTCAACATCCAACATAATCATCCTGAGCAAAACATTTCAAGCACCTTATCACAGCAGGTCTCCCTTACCTTCCCACCTCCTGACAGCGCTGTTATGACCCTCTGTCCCTGTCCCAGCACAAGACCTGCCCCAGCAACAGCTCTCCCCACTCCAGTCCTGCAAGAACGCAGCCCAGTTTCCTTACTATACCTCTACCACAGAAGGAACAAGACATTATAGTCTGGAGGCAGAGCTCAGCCACTCTGCAGGCTATTCTTGTCTCCATTTATCAGTTCTCCCACGAGAGGTTCGTTTCTGGGGTGACAGACAGCTCTGAGACCTCTCGTGCTTAAAGATTTTTCCACTCCAATCCATCTTGCAAGAGCAGCCATCGAGGAAGAGCAGAGGTAACCCACCTGCTTGTCTCATCAAGCTTGCATACAGCTAACTTTAAAGATTTGCAGCCTCCTGGGTTATAGCTGATTTGTAACCACATTCAAATGGGCAGACGGCTTGTAAACCACTTGTAACCCACTGCCATTTGAGACTGGATTTAAAAGCTTCAGGCTACGGGATGGGCTTTTTGTATTAGGCTGGGTTTCTTTATGTAAAGAATTATTTCTCAGCCTCAAAATCACCGCTTGATCCCATTGGCATAAAATTATCGTGAATAAGAGACTTGTTCGAGAAGGATAACTAAACAGAGCTGTAATTTGCATTTTTATCATTTCAATAGACATGCAGGTATCTTGCACGAGCTCTTACACCCACAGTCCCAGTCACCTGGGGAACCGGTGAGTGCGGTAAGACACCCCACCAGACAGGCAGTCTCCTCAAGCCCCTCAAATCGCCACATTTTCCAGCACCGCAAAGCTCCAGATCTTGAGGGTTTTGATAACAATTAGATCTGCAAACGGTAAGGGTCTCTGCTTACCTTGGGCAAGTCACCAGCTACTTTCTGTCTCTCGTTTTGATCAACTTTGAGTTTTGATAGTGTTTCATTTAGCTGCGTTTTCAGCTGCAAAACAGTAACAAAGAAAATCAGTTTCCCCTCGCACACACAGAGATTTCATCTGTCTGTCCCGCGGATTAACCCAGTGCACACTGACTGCAAAGGGAGTAAGATTACTAACAATTATTGCACACACTGGATTAGTCAACATGTATGATGAGGTTTACAAGGACAGTCAAGGAAGAGAGACTCCATCTGTAAAGATAAACGTAAAGAATGGAAACTACAGAAGAAAAGACATGGTTGGCATCAGCTTCATTAGAAGCGGTTTCAACTTCTAAGCTATACTGCCAGTAGGAATATTAGCAATAGTGACAGTACATAAGCCTCTCCAGCTCTCTTACCACAAAAGTCAGCCCAGACTCCAACCTAATTCACAGCAAATATGCAAAAATGTAGATTGTCATCTCCCTAATTCAGGCTAAACACTCACTTTACTGCTGAATAAACTAAAAAGCTCTACTTGTCATCTTAATAAAGCACCACTTACTACAACTATGTTGACTTAACCAGTCTGTTAGTGTCACATCAAGGCATGAATCACTGACAGGGGGATATTAAGTTGTCAATTGTGTTTAGATTCAATCCAAAAAAGTAAAACTCTTTCAGTCAAGAGGGATGAATACTTTGTTCGGGCTGCCCTTAAACTACAGCCTTCCAAAGGATACAAACACTTTTTTAAAGAGTATTTCTACTGCTCTTCAACACAGCATACAGCACCAGCCGCAGCACTTACGGCTCCCGCCCCACAAACAGGAGTGCTAACAAGAAGCTCGAGTGCCAATTTTGTTCTATTTGTGCCTCTGAAGTGCGCTGTGCTAATGTTCACTATTCCCGCTGTCAGTCTTCCTGGGAGCCAGCAAGGGATTAAAGTGAACAATAGATTACTCAGAGCCCTGAATTCTCACTGGTTCCAAACCTACACATTACATTTGTCTCACTCCTGGAAGGTTTCCCCCTTTGGAGCACCTGGACAGATGGATGCTGGTTTTCTACGTTTTGGGGGAAGCACTGTTGAGCTCCTCTGCATTTCAGCTTCTCTCCTTGCTCACCTTATAAACCAGTGGGAATTCTGAAATCCCATCATTTCTATTCCACGGCCCCCTGCCTACTGCAAAACCCACTGGTATACACTGGACAGCATTCCCGAGCCATTTGCATTAAGGTAGTTGTTTACCACCACCTCACACTCCTACCAGCACAGCATCATCGGATTGCAGAGTCAAGCTGCCCTAGCAGGGAGCTCAGCTTTTTAAGCTTTTGTTGTTACAGACATAATAGGTTGTTGCCTCTTATATTCAAGAGGTTGGCGTTTACTGATTAACTCGAAGATACGCATTCAATTCCCATTTCCCCTGCTTTCAAAAGGAGAGGCTTTGGTTGCTGAGGCAGGATGTTAATCAATGCTGTACTAGACTTGCCAAGCATACTATTAACTTAAGCAGATTGTTATTGTGGTGGCTTTTTTTAAATCAACTGTTTTAACCCAGTTACATTAGCGGCAGTACCCTAGCGAGATCAGCAGCTCAGCCTGCAGTGACAGGTTGTCCCGTCAACTACTGTAAAACCCAGCAAAGACATGGGGACAGAGACAGCCTTCCTGATTCTGGCTCCAAAGCAGTGTTCAAACACAAGCAGAGGAAGGATCCGACTGCTCCTGCAGCCTTAAAAAAAAAAAACCACCCACACACATCATGGAAACAAGTGAGAAGTGAAAGGGCTCAAACTGGAAAACCAGGCGTCTTCAGGTCTATAGGTCTGACCTCGGTTAATCCACCTCCTTCTTGAGAAAACCTGGTTATAGGAGCATTATTGGTGGGAAAGCATTTCTGGCCAAACACGCTGGAACACAGTGCATGCACCAAGCCAGCACAGCTATTCAGCTACATCAGGATGCCAGCTGCTGCATGGCTGGATACTCGGAATTAATCTAACACCGGTTTGGGCCAATTTCTGTACATACAGAGGAGGATGGAAAAGGCTCTGCACAGTCAGAGCACAAACACATCCTCAAAAGCTTTGGAATAAAACCACCAGAGAATAATCCTCAAGTTAAACCGATGAGAGCACAACTTTTGTTGCTCCAAGGACATTACATTTGCTGTTGCGTACATCTACGCTGTAAAACACTGATTCTCAAGAAGTTTCAGGAATGAAAGTCTTACAGACTTCGGAAAAAGTCTTAAGAACCAGACATGCTATTGTTAGGAGCAGAGAAAGAGACAAATTGTAAAAGTCAGACTACAATAAATGATTGCAATGGACAAAAATATCAAGCTGAAGAGGTTAGCAGAACAGACAGGATTTGAAATAAGTCTCTGCTTCATAAGTACGCTGGGAGCCTAGTTTGTGCCCAGCAGAGAACAAGCTTCTTACCAAATTTAACTCTTCATTCTGTCTTACTGCTTCAGAATATGAATCATCAAGTTTTTTCTGCAATTCAGTCAACAGATCTTTGAGCTGAAATGAAGTTTAGAGTTTTAGGATTTGTCTCCTTTAGGATGCCCACTTTTCTTCTGCTCAGTTTTTAGTGTGTCGCTCTACCCTAAGGTCACAAGCATATAAACTCCTCAGCCACAGGGGCTAAGCATTAGATTAGTTTGAGAGCCAGCTGGTAACCACAAGAAAAAGAACAGTTTGGTCAATGATGTTTACCTCTCTGACTTCTGAAACATAAGTAGATCGTTCTATTTCTGCCTTTTCTAGTTCACTTTCCAAATGTTCTCTCTCTTTTTTAAGCTAGAAACAGAAAAACAGAGTTAACACAGATGTTTTCAGTGGTTTTTTGCAGTATCATTTTCTTGATTTATAATTAGCTATAAATTTGTACCAAATATTCCGTGACATGTAGAGAGCATTTCAAATCCAGTGATTGCACAGCTCATATTTAAACTGTTACATTTCAAAAAGATAAAAAGAAAAAGAACCAAGCCCAAGATCGTCAACAAGCAGCAAACTGCTCAGTCTCACAAGGAAAAAGCCCCAGCACAGAAGCAAAAACCAGGACAGTTTCCAGTACCCAGCTTCTCCGCTTCTCAACCACCACTGGCCAAATGATTCCGTTTAAACTGCACCACGGGCTGCGCTACTGGCAGGAGAGGAGTCCTAAGAAGTTCAGACTTACAGCACAAGCATAAATCCTGTTTAAGTAACAAAAAGCTTCAAAGAGGAAAAAAAAAAGCCACCCGCACGTACAGTTTCAACTTCTTTGATTTCTTCCTTTAACCTCTCTACCTCGTGCTCCAAGGAAAGGACTGAAGAACGCATCTGCAGTTTTCAAGACAGACAAATACATCATTTAGTTGGGTTGATCTAAGACAAGCTCTCCGTACACACACAAGCTTGCTTCATATTAAGGATGAAGTCACAGTGACTGAATAAAGTAAGACGCTCACTCAAATAATTCAATATACTGAGTCTCCATGAGAACGCATTTCCTACCTTCTCTCAACATAAGAAGTTCTTTCCCACACCTAGAGCCTAGATGCCTGAAAGATTTGGAATATAAGGACCAAGCCAGTTGTCCATTAGCTATGGTAAAGGAAATATCTCTCCTAGACAGCGAAGACTGTCTCCATTCATATACGATATGTAGCCAAACGCAGCATGTTTAGCCTCATTAGAGGCTCCATAAGCACAGCAGATGGTAGCACATCTATAGCTCAAGATCTGACAGCCTTTTATAAGCCCCTCAAACAAGATGTTTATAAATCATCTGTTTGCTCCAGGCTCATGCTCTAGCACTCAGATGTACTAAGCCAAAATACTTTAGAAACAATTTCTCTCAAAAAAAGCAGTTTGACCTACTTGAATTCTAGATTAGGAAAGAAACATAAAAGGCTTTTTTCTTATCACTTCTGCTTCCTAAAAAGAAAAGTTCTGCAGGCGATTTCAAGTGTAATTAGTTGACCATAACGGATGAAGCAGTATTTTAGCAGCTCCCTAAAAATTGTTATGATTATATGATACTTAAATTTTAGCACCAGGTGCTTAACAGAAATACAACTGAGTTGCCAGGATCAGAAAAATATACATTCCTGGGCACATTAATGGGACACATGTATATTCCTGAATCTTTGCCTTCCTACCCCATCATCAATATCACTACGCGACATTTGGCTGCCTCTCGCATCACCTGCAAAAGACTGACACAGACCTGCCGTAACGGTCAGAGACCTTATACCTGCGCTGTTCACGTGTTCGTGCTTCTCTAAAGATGGCAACAGGAACAGCCACACAAGTCTAAAGACAATAATTCCTACACTTTTTAGTTTAACATGGAAATATGTTCCTCAAAAAAATAAAAGTCACTCTTAGCATGAAATTAAGTATCAGAGTGCCAAAAATACTATTGTTATAAGGAGGGATTGTTCCTATTATAGTGGTTGCAGACTTCACCTTTTTCACCCACTGGTCACACACACATCAAACCAGGCAGCCAGGGCTGTTCTACACCTGCCTTCAAACACCCTCTGGAACTTCAAGCAGAAACTGCCTGGCTGCCACAAAAAGCCGATCTTCAGAAATACCTGTTTAAGTTCCTTCTGTGATTCTTCAACTTTTATCTTCCATTTGCTTTCTTCCTCTTCCACACTCCTCTGTAGCCTTTGTAAAATCCCCTCCTAAGAAGAGAGCGGGGTTTGAAAGCTTACAGCAGAAGAAAGGCAGCCTGCAACATCACAAGGCCCAGGCGAGCAGGCATCCTGCTTACCGTCTCCGCCAGGACTGATTTGTACTTCTCGCACTCCAGTTGCAGCAGTACGTGCATTTCCTCGGCCTCCTTCAGCTTCTGCTCCATAGCCTGGCAAAGGAGAGGAGGGACCAGAAGAGTCACGTCTCAGCTGACAGATTTGAGTTCTATCATCTATCTTATTTCAGCAAGCAAGCTGGTATCGTTCACACCGGCAGGCCTGTCTTTCCAAGACGACAACCGCAACGTTCACCTCCAACTCTCAATATTCAATCACAAACTTCATGGGAGTTACTGCAGTAATTCTGACTTGCCCAAAGAAAACCATTTACTTGAAAAAGGGAACAGGGTTTTTTGAATTTCATGAACATTTTCACAGCTCCACAAGGTGCTTTTCGAAGACACCAATACGTTTCCGATTTGCAAGATGCAAATATCCGTAAAACATTTTTCTTTCACCTGTTCACCCATTTGAACTTCACAATCCAGAGCACCATTTATACCAGAAAACATCCTATGCCACACACAAGGAAGCAGTCCACCGTTCATGCCTACCTTGACGTCTTCGGATCCCGAAGCCTCTCTCAAGTATTCTTTAGCCATCTTTTCAAACCCACATATCCATTCACTGTGGCTCTGTTGAGAAAGGTATTTGGTTAAAGCATCACACACACAGTTCACGGGGGCTTGGAAGTGCTGAAATACAACTGGGTGAGAGAGGTCTCCCTGCAAGTGTTGGGGCTCTGCAAGAAGTATTTGAAGACTTAAGGGAACCTCTCCCAAAACCCCTGAGCAGTTAAAGCAGACACTTGCTACGTAATTCTAGGGAGCTCACTAGGAAGACTGTTTTATAACCTTACAGAAACAGTCTTTTTAAAGACTCTTTCTAGCTCATCAGGAGACTAACTTTAGGCACATTTGAGAATAATTTTAAATATGAATATTCAGAACCTCTAGACTACACAAATGAAACAGAGACTCCATTTTTCCCGCCTCACTTCACATCACTCACGCAACCTAAACCACACAAACCCCGTGTGCTTCCCTCGAAAACACCTGAAAGCCACCAAGGATATAAAACTGGAAATCAGTGGTTTTCAAAGGAACTTTGGGAACCAAACAAACCCTCCTGAACTGGATCAACTGGCACTGAGGCAGCACCGCTCCTCTGAAAGGCGGGGGCCAGCCATTATCTGCACAGCCACCGGGTAGATACGGATCCTCGTTGTGCCAGACAGTGAGCAAACACGCAGCAGACCTTACCCACCCCTGAAAACTCACTATCTCCGTTAGACACAAGATAACACAGGCAGATGAATCAGATGTTGGGGCAGTAGGGAAAAAAAAAAAAAATATCAACCCACACACAAGATAACGATAACTTTTTTTTAACAATTTTCTTGAAGTAACTGTCTGCAGCTTTGCCTCTCTGCTGCTGCAAGTACAGGTATTGCAAATAGAAAACACTCATGTCCCAGTGCAAAAGCCTTGGGGCAGAGGGGAAACACTCCAGCAGGACCAGAGCTCCCCAGCCCCCAGCAGCAGGGTAGGAAGAGCCCCTTCTCTTACCACGTTAGAAGGAAGAGAGACTTTGGGGAAGAGTTTCTGGAGTAGTTCACGTGTCTCCACCTCGGCAGCTTCCAAGTGCTGCTGCTTCTCCTAAACACAGAGAATGGCTCACGTGAAATTGGGCAACACGGACCTGGCAACAGCCTCTTCTATGCCTTGAGTAACTGACTTAACCCAGAAAGTCTTTTTTTAAGTAGAGAAAAGTGCTAGTCTCTAAAATTGCCAGTAAATTGCTTCCAAAAATGACACTGAATTGCTTCAGAATTTGGCCTTCATATTTGTTCATGCCAAAGCTTTTTTCTTATGTTCTCCTCCAATCTAGCCTGTTTGTACAGAAATTACACTATCATTCATGACACAAACTACACTGTGCTGAGCAACTGCATCCACAAATCACACCAACCCTGCCACTCAAGTTGAACGATCTCAAAAGCAACAAGTTGGGTCAATCAACAATTTTTTTAAAATTCGTACTTATTTTAAACAATTTTAGGCAGGAAAAAAATATGACCATAAATTAACATCACCACATCAAAAAAAAAAAAGAGAATTCAAGTCAAAAGGAAACTTTGTGTTAATGCACATTTGAACCAGGCCAAGAAAGCAACACCGTATCTTCTAAATATTACTTTCCATTACTCAAGATGGAGACCCTTACATTCTCCTTCCCCAAGCTTGGATGCAATGGGAAAATAATTATTAGAGCTGTGTGACAATCTCCAGGTTTTCTTTGTCGTTGCTCTGCAAACAGAAATACACAGAGCCAAGGGCAACACAGATCCATCGTTCCGTTTATTTAACACCAACAGCAGAGCAGCCACAGGACGTTTGCTTGCTGTGCTTGTGGCAGATTGGGTTAATTTAGCCGTACGACGCTCAGGCTCCCCTATAAGTTTAAAAGCAGAAAGCCTGAAACCCTGAGCAGAAGGCAGCTTTCAGCACAAATCCTTCACTAACGTTTGGGTTTGTTTTGTTTTCTTTGGCGCCAGCGCTACTGCGCCTCGCTCTGCTGCAAGAGCTTGGTGGCATTAGTAGGTTGAGATTCAAGAGACGGCAACGGACAGGAGACGTTAGGCTGTGAAGTTGTGCTAAGTGTGTTAGTTTTCAGCAATTTAGGAACCACTGAGGAGTGGCAAAAGGCTCTTTGATGGAGTCGGCCGACTGCAAGAGAAAGCAGGCAAGCGTCAGCGACGCAGCCACGGCAGGTTCACAACTTCTCAGGACGCGGGGCCGAGCGAAGAGCGGACACATCGCCAGAACACAGACGCACAATCCCAAAGCGGAGCTCCTCTGCTTCTAGCTACCTGACTCGTGGTTTTAAAGTTATTTTGATGCTTTTTTTTTTTTTTTTTGAAATCCACATAGTGACAATTAACACCAAATCAGGCTCACAGCAAATGCAAGCTCCTTTCAGAGCAATTCATGCCCCGAATCGTTTTGAACACTGGCTCTGACGGGACCTGTCGAGCTTCACGTCCTTTCAAGGAGGAAATTCACAGCTGTGGTGACACTGTTTTCCTGAGCAGTTCCCAGGTTTTTAAAAAATAATCTGGTTCCAGTTCTTCACGGGTCCCGTGAATTTATTCAAGCACAGTGAAAGCCCAGTAGATGAAAGCAGGTTGCTCACCAGCACAGTTTTTATTCTAGAGCTCCCACAGAAATAAACGATTCACAACAGCTCTAACAATTATGCAAACAGAAATCAAAAAAAAAAAATCAGCATGCCCACAAACTAAGGATAAAAAAAAATAAAAAGAAACCTAAAGACAACAGGAAGAAGCAGAAGTGAGAGTATATGAATGATCACTCAGAACAGATTATATTTAAATTGCAGTAAAAGTTAAATGCCTTTATTTCATTTAAGAAAACCAGCTGCAGATCTGCTTCTAGCTTAACGCGTTGTTTCTAGCAGTTAACTTTACAACCTTGGCAGTCTTGTTCACTTTGTCCTGCAGCAATTTTTCAGTTGATGCCAATGCTTCCATTGCTTTCCAGTTTTTCTCCCGAAGGTCCTAATCATTTTTAGAAAGAACGATTTCAGTTCAGCCAATATTCAAACTGTTTCCGCTTTTACTTCAGAGATATATTTTGCATTACATTCCACCATTTGCATTTAAATGCTGGTTACTGCAAGATGATTTTGCTGGGTAAGATGACGTACACTGGCAAAAAACAAGTGTGATGTTCAAAAAGTTTGAATGAAAAACGGGGGGGGGGGGGGGGGGGGGAAGCCAATAAACCTGCCCCCACGTCCAAAACTGATCCAAGGGGTACGGCAGAGCGTATCGCTACAGCGACCCCGCACTTTGACTGCACTTGTAAGAAGAAAGAGGGAAGTTTTCAAAAGTAGTGAGGAACACAGACACCAAAACCACAGATTACACAACAGAGTGTTAGGCATGTCGCGTTGCAGAACCCAGCATGGACCCGAGGATACATGGAGGTGTACACATTTACGCCCCTGATCTTGCAACCAGACGTAGCTGCGTAGATCCTCAGGCCCCGGCCCAAACCTACTACACCAGGGCCGACGGTAGAAACACAAAAGCTCAGGGCCTTGGTTTGGCAGCATTTACCCACGCAGCTCTCCCCGCTGCACCCAAAGAAAACGGGTTTGCCGCTCACCAGCCCTCCTGGGAGGTTTTGGGGCCTCACCAGCGGCGAGCACAGCCCAGATCCGCACGGAAGCGCCACCGCGCCGTGCCGCGCTCCTGCATCTTTCTTGGCGAGGTCATCAAACGTGTACTCCACAAGATGTCAACGTGCACGCTCAGTTAGGAGCCTGAGAGCTCTTCTAAAAAGAGCCTCGCAGCTCTTATCTAGGAAGGATGGCGGGCCTTGTGGGAAGGAGATCACGGTGCTTGGGATTTAGATTTATTTTTTTACAACCCTCAGGCACCTGCTTTAGCAAAGGGCGATTTCTGAAAGGCCGTACTTCGATTCGCTACGCCAAGCGGCATCCAAATTCTAGCATGTACCTACACCAGTTTTGCTTTACCACTTCTATTTGCCTGCTATCCTAAGGGCTCTTTCACAGCACATACAAACAAGATCGGATAAACTTGCAATGTGCTAAGCTAGGACCTACGGGCATGGTCTACTCTTAGCAGTAGCCAGACTTCTGCCTGCACCACAAAGGGTACTTACGACTTTGCAACTCCCCACGAAACAAGCACACATTTGTTCTACCTTTCCAGCTCATCTGAATTCTGAGAATATCCAGCCACCTTCCCTCTACTTTATTTCAGCTCTTAAGCAACACTACTTGCTCAAAAGCTCACATTCTTAGTATTTTCCTTGTGCATCTTCCATATGTTGTCCCCCTTTTAAGGAACAAGTATCATTTGCACAGCACTCATTGGATTTTATAGGCTATCAAGGAGAGACAAGTGAGCTGAACACTCTGTATTTTAAGTTTTCCTCCATATACCTTACAAGATGCCACTCTTTTGCCCTGCACAGGTAACATATTACAAGGAGGTAACTTCACAGCTCTGTGATGGAAGATACAAACTTTACTTCCACCCACGAACAACCCATACTGCAGATCAGCAGCTGCTGTAAAGGAAGGCTCACTGTCCTTCACCTCCTTCAGAAGATCAGGATTAATCACTCTTAGGAATGGGAAAAACCAGATCCGAGAGCCCTGAAGGTAACTTCTCCTCCCATGTACCCCCACAAGGACCATAACTCAGTCAGACCACAGCCCTCTTCATCTTCCCACCCTCTCTCCCCAAACCCCCTCTTCTCTTAGCAAAGGACGTGTTTCTGAACAGGGCTAACAAAGCTTGAATCCAAGCTTGAGAACTTGCTGAGGGATGCGTCCCCTAGCAAGCCTCCTCCCTCTCGTCAAATCAGCAACTCGTCAAAGAGCTGAAACTTGGAGCTGTAGAGTACGGTATGCTTAGGCACCCCCAAGAAAAAAAAAAAAGGAGAGGAGTGTCCAGGGGACACAATACAGCAGACAACTGTCAGAAACATTTCCTTAGCAGAATGCCCTAGGCACTGTGGAGTGCCATGCACACAGGTTGGGT